CGATCCTTTCGGGGGGATTGAAGGGGGCCGCCGCGATGTGGATAAACGCAGCTGCCCCCTCCCTCCAGTGAAAGGTGACCTTGCGCGATATCGGATATTATTGATCGAGGATATCCACCGCGATTTACCGATGCTGAAACTTTAGATTCCTGATACCTCGTTACATTGGCGGTGAAAAGAGAGCCCGTGCAGCCACGTTCCTCTCCGTTGCGGATGTGATACTTTTGAGTGGATCGACGAGTTTACGGATGTTACAAGGATGAACGGCGTCCTTTGTAATCCGGAGCACAGGGCGACTTGCTTCAGCATCTGCATTCGTTTCTTCAGCAACCGGCACACCCACGCATTTCGACCAGGACCTTATCAGAGTCTAAAGGTAGACAAAGGGCGCTGAACCGGGGGACCCTTCGGGACGTGTATCTCTCAGTGTGTCTAATTCCTGAAGGAAACACATTCCATTCATTTCCCGTTATCTCCGAGTTATCATGTCACATTACGAATCTTAATAAATCCGCCAACTTTATCAGAAGTGAAGAGATCGCGCAAACGACAGTGACATCTGCCACACAACTCGTCTTCCTCTTCTGATTCATCGCATATAAAATCCAAAGTCTTTTAGCGCTAATAATGTGCTCAATATAACGCGTGAAATTAATTATACATTCCGCTGGTGTGAGAGGATAAACATCCTCGCGTGACATACGTGTATGTGGAAATGTACTCGAGGCGAAACTGCGTGTACACACACACACACACATACACACACATACACATACCTCCTACGTGGAGTCGCTCAAGTACACGACGCGAATGGCGAGTGGGTATCTCGCTACGGGGAGATATCACGCACCATGAAAATATGATGCTCGCGTCATAACCCTAGCTCCTGCGGATCCTGTTTTCCTATCTTGCGACATATGAGAGATATGAATCGCCCTATCTACGGCCTTCGTTGCGACCGAACCTACCCTTCGCAGCCTTTATGAAAACCTCTTTACTCCTCACAAAATACAGGCTTTCATGTTAATTAATCTAACTAACAATATTCATGGTAAAAAAAAAGGAAGGAAAAATTGACCACGTGAAATAAATTCTGCAGTGTTTTCCTACGACGTGAGCGTTTCACTAGAGGCAATATCTCGTGAACATCGGCAATATTATTTCCGATATTGAAATAATAATACTGCGAGGCAAGAGTGAAAAAGGACATGCCGTTCTCGTCTGTCGCGCGGCAAATAACCGCCGATACTTTGATCATATTTCTGCGAAAGTTCTCGGCGTTGTCCCGCCCCCTCTTCTCGCTCCCTCCCCCAAAGTGTGTCAGATTACTCCGAGTCGGCGATACGTAGGCCTCCGCGTATAACGTGGAGGGCGAGGTTATAACACTACCTCCTTGCTTCGTGATAATATGTGTCTCTGGTTCGCGATTTCCCGCCCTACCACCTCCTCGGCCTGTTTATTCTCCTGCTACGCCGATGTAACGGAGTTGTTTACACTGCGCATGTAATATGGCATCGATGCGCTTTTCCGCCGTCGCAATTATCGTCGTCGCGCTCCCGCTCGCGGCGCGACGGCGCGGATCCGCGGCCGCCGCGTCCGCGCCCGGCCGTTGTAAGACTCGTCGCCGTTCATGTCTCCCGGCGTGCAATTAGTACGACGCGCGCGAGACGCAACGTCTGGCCGTGTAATTTACATACAGAGCCGCTCCGACGGCTCCGAGACACGCCGTGTATCGCGCGCTTAATCGTCCATTCGCGCTCGTTACACGATCCTTTCTCCTCGCGTACGGCGTACCGTCGACGTTTTCGCGAAACGCGAAGAAGCAGGGGTGCATTAGCGTGAAGAACTAGAGCGTCGCGCGCGCGCAGGGTGGCGCGTATGTATGTATGTACATGCCGAAAAGTGCACGCTCGCTCTCTCCCTCTCTGGACGGAGATATTAAGCGCGAAGGACAGGTTCAGGTTATTGCGATACATCCTTCATCAGGAGCTTATCTCGACACGAAGCTCTGCGTCGGGGAGAGGGGAGACACGGAGGCGGCTTCGCCGCGGGGATTGTTATGTAAAAGCGAAGGAACGGTAGTAAACGAAAGCCGGAGAGCGAATCGCGATACACGGCAGATCAGGGTCGCAGCCCTTCGCGGTAGGGTGGCGGCTGGCTCCCGACGTGTGCTCGAGGGTGTGTCAGAGACACCTTGGGCGACTTTATAGGCCGCATAAAACATCGCATAATCGCGCACACCCATGTTCGGGCTTCGTCCGATGAGACGAATGTTAAAAAAAATACAAGAAACTGTCGCAGAAAAGGTTAGAGAATTTTGTTGGCATTTTCTGAAAAGTTCACATGAGCATATACATGTGTGTATGTGTGTTTATGTGTGAATGAAACACTGGATATTTGATGACAAAAGCTGCGACAGCAAAATGCAGACGTAGCTTTTGGATTTGTAAATATAACGCGTGCGAGGCGCGTCGCGTACCGCAGAGCTCTTTATTGATCTGCTCGGGCAAAGAAAGCAAGGTCTGTCGACGAGGGTCCGCGTCAGACCGAGAAAAGGATCATTCACTCTGTCCACTCTACATTCCGCCTCAAACCACAGAAACTCAACGATGAGATATGAAAAAAATGAAAAGTGATATCCGCACTAACAGGAGACTATCATCATCGCGGAGCTCGCCCGGATGGGGAAGGCCGGTCTTTTGCATTCCTCCGAAATCACCGTGTCACTTGACACGGTATACTCCTCAACGACGTTTCTTCTCGTTCTCAATCGTTACTAACAAACATTGCGCGGCGCTTTATCCCTTGTATCGAAGTGCAGACTTCTTTCCGATCAAAAGCGTCCCGCAACACGTACTCGCGATACCGCGAGAGGAGACAAGCAACAGGAAACCTGTAAACCCTCCGGGAGAGAATTTGCATGTTGCGTTGCATCAGATAACAAAAAATGCATAGCACTGACAGCACCATTGTTCTTAGATGAAGCAGAGTGACGTCATTCGAAAGCAACAAACGTGCGCTGTTAGTGTCGAGGCGCGAATTCCGCCAAGCTTGCGCTCGCAAGAGTCGTGGCTCTTCGTGCTCGTCGCGCCGCGTCGGGGCCGTGGTGGTGTAGTCATAATGACAGCAATTAGTTTCGCTCCATTGAGTTCTAAATGCGGAGACTCGGCCATCAGGGATGCAGAGCGTCTGAGGAGGCTCGAAGGATCTTCGGCTGTCGGCGGCCAGGAACCACGGCGGAAGGTTCTCCTGCGGTTTCATCCTACTATCCTGGCCGCTGTCGCCGACTTTCTTATTAATATGCTAATTTTACACGAACGCCGGTCCCAATTATGAACGGGATTTTCCGCGACGACCGCGGCCGCGACGACGCCGACGGGCCTCGGCGCGCGTCGCTAACGTCTCGCGCCCGTCGTCCAGGGTGTTCCAGGGATTACGGCCACGTGTAATACGAAACACCTGCGACCAGGGGAGCATAGGGCTAGGCGGAGTGAATATATCCCTCAGGAGCCACTCCTTCGAGACGCGCGGTGATCTCCAAGACCGCGTCGACCGTCGTTACGGTAGACCGCGCGAGTCTTCGAGAGTCATCTTGATGCTGCTTGCATTTTCCAGAGCGCAAATTCATTTCCGTTCGCGGAGGCAGGGGGAGGGGGAAAGCGAAACTGTTTTCTGGTTGAGTAGACTTTCGTCTGTAATCACGTCTTGTCGAGGGAAAAGGAGATGAACGAAGTGCGATCTCTCTATAAGTCTCACACGGGAAGCAATTATCGAGGAGCAAACTCGTCGAGCTCGCGACACAATCGCGTCGAGGAGATAGAGACGTAGTATCGATTGAACGCGACTCGTGCAACAAGTAAAGCATGCGCATGAGGTGAGACGAGTCTAATTCCCGCGCTATTGACCTGCACCGGGCGCAGCGTCGCGCGCGCGCGCGCGCGCTCCTCGGCGCAGGAAGAGGCGAGCGAAGGCCGCGGCACGAAGGGTGCGACTCGTCCCTGAAGAAGGTTCCAGAAAGATCGGGAACGCATCAGGCCTCAGGATCGCTCATGAGTGCCTAATCGGCCGCCCTTTGTTAATCCCCCGCAGGGTAAAAAGATTTGCCGCTCCAGCGGCTTTGAAAGAAAGTGGGACTGTCGGCTGATCAGGAGTGCACGAGAGTACGGAGGACACCCGCGACGAGAGAGAGGCGCGCGAAGACGCGACGTCGCGACTTCTGTCTGTCCGGCTGTGTGGGAAAGACTCCCTAAAAACGACGCGCGCTTGGTCGCTTTGGGAACCCGTGTCGGAGCCCGTGCAAAGTGAAGAACGCGATTCCTCATGACAAAATGAGAAATGTATGCGAAGTGTCGACACACCCGGACACACGTCCGCTCGTTTTCAACGTTGAACGACTGCGGGGTGCCATCGCGGTAAACCGTGGTTGACGAGCCGAGCTTGTCGTTTCGCTTCGTGACTGGTCCTACCATCGGCGGCCATTTGATACCAAACTCAGACTGCACCCCACCAGGGTATCATGAACGCGGGCCGTCTTCGCGGCGCGAGCGTCTCCGACGCGAGCACCAAAGCCGCGAGTTCGCTACCAATTAGTTACGCTTGAGCAGGTTCCAATGAATTTCGTCCTGGCCTCCAAGGATACTATAAAAAGCGTGGCGGTCCTCGCGGATGAGCCAAGGAAGAGCGCGAATCGCCTAACTCGACGATGCACTTCGCGCGCACGGCCAGCCAGCCAGCCAGCCAGCCAGCCAGCCAGCCAGCCAGCCAGCCAGCCACCTACAGGGTGAAATGGGACCGCCTCTGCGCGCATGGTACTCGCGGAAACGGTATCGAAACCGCGGCCGATTATACGTTAGCAGCGTGTAATTCCGACGTCAGGCTGTCCGATGCCTGTGAAGAAGACTGGCGGGATCGATGCCATTGGCAGGGAGCGGCGAGTTTTTACAAGCGGAAGGAACTGAACCGACTGACGCACGTGATTAGGAGTATATAAGACGAGCACGATGGGAGACCTCGAAAGGGCGATCGGGTGCAAGGTGCCGCGCGTCGGCCGTCTGGGTAGCGTCGATTTGGCCTCACATGATCAGGAGAACATCTCCGCGAGGGTGAGGCGGCCTAACGCGTGGTGGTGCGATACAGGGAACAGGAAACGAGTAGGCGTGAGTTATGACGACGCGGGCTTAAATGGTCCTCCTGTCGCTTCGATCCGCCGTGTGTGCTCCGGCACGCACGAGTCTAGCTTGGGACAAACGCGCGAGATAAATGCCAAAAGCAGCGAATAGATAAACAACCTTATGGGGATCTTAGGAGCAGGTAGAAGGTCGAACGCGTGCTAGAACCGCCCTATACCGAGCCAAGGGCTTTCTTCGGCTTCTCGCGCGCTGTACAGCTGGAGTCGTGAGAACAAGTTGTCTTGGAGCGACGAGTAACGCAGAGCTATGCACTAGGCTCCTTATTCTGAACTCTCTCTTATCGATAAAAATTCTTCTAATGCTAGAATCACACGATGCACGATATCATGCCTTCTGACACACATGCTAATCAGCAATGCATTCACTGCATAGATCTTAAAATACACAGCAGTGACTCACGCAGTAAACTTACCGATCAGCATGCATGTAAGAAGGCGTGAAATTACGCATCGTATGATTCCAGATTAAGTGTGACTAAAAGCCAATCAAAAGACTTATAAGCCACATTTGGACAGTTACGCTTTTAAAAGAGAGTTCACATAGAATAAGGGCTTTCTAGAATAGACTGCGCACTCTTACTGCACTAATGATAAAATTGAAGGACAGAGATATGTTGAGTCAAATGGTTATACAGTATCCTGGAAAGGGGCGATGTAGGAGGAACAAAAGAGAGAGTGAAATATAGTGAAAGAGAGGACGCATGGATCGTGCAATCGAGTCTCCTTCTCCGTTCTGGACAATTATACGAGGAAAGCATCTTACTTACTATCTGTTGCTCTCTCTAAGCTGGGATCATACGATGCACGATATCATGCATTTTGACACGTGCTGACTGGCAGATCAATTCACTGTATAGATCTTCAATGCGCAATAACGATTTGTGCAGTGAACTGAACAACGTGTCAGCATGCATGTAAGGCGTGAAATCGTGATTCTAGTTTAATACTAATGCTGACTAATTCATCCCTCTTACAGTAATGCGCAGTCTAAGCTGTGTTCCATAATACCCATATGCGCGCATCTATCTATAGTTCATGTTACGTATAGGAGAGACCAGGGCTAGATGATATTTGTATTTTAGAATTTCGAAGTAACAACTTCGAAATTCTAAAATACAAATATCATCTAGCCCTGGTAATACTTATCAGACAACGAATTATTGTAATTAACTATATAAACGTAATAGAGCAACCTTCTTCTACGTATTAATGCCACGACTCTGTTAACCATATATTTTGTTTTGTAATAACTAAAATACAAACATGCAGCGATGTAATCATCTTGCCCTGGTATCGTGTTCATTTGCTCAGTAAAGCAGGGTAAGAAGGTCATGTATAAAATATGTATCCTAATTAGTAGTTCCAGAACCTCTGCCAAAGGTCTCCACAACCCACCTGCTGGACTTTAATTATAAACCAACTTACCGACTACCTCGTCCATCCATATGCTCTATTTTAATCATTTTATGAATGAAAATTGCATTTATTACATTAGCAGAAACAGTATATCATACACTTGCAAGAAATTTCATTCTAGCCAGTAACACATTGCTTAATTTTATTCAGACACGATAGAGAATAAATAGAACATTTAGAGAAGCTCAAGAATTTAATTTGCTACTATCAAATCAGTTCTTTCTATTTTTTAATATAGATAATATAGATATAGATAATATAGATAATATAGATAATATAGATAATATAGATATAGATAATATAGATATAGATAATATAGATTTAATATAGATAATATTATTCCAAATTTTAATTAAATTCAGGCTATTTATATTCCAAGGACCATTTCGCGATTTTGTAGCCACTGTTCCTCTCAAGATAAATACTAAAAAAAAAACATAAACAAACTCCATGTAGCCCCGATCTCTCCTACTATAAAATGCGTGCATATGTGCATTATGAAACGTAACCCTGATTTACATGTCTATACGCGGAGCAATAACGAATGCTCAAATGTCAAGGTGAATACGCAAGCGAACGTCAAATTAATCGATATGTGGGGCGATCGTCCACTTTTCTCCCACTCGATTAGAGAGACGGCGACCTCGAGTATTTTGTAGGAAACCGGCCGACATACTAGGTTATGAATGATGAAGTTGCTTGTTGGGCCGCGAGTCACGATCGGGAGAAGTTTCAAGTTATTTATGCGATACGGCAAGCTCGTTAATCTGGCCGTGTGTCTGGAAATGATCAAGAGGCTAATCGAGCCGGCGCGGAACGCGCCGACCGGAAGGAAACTGCGCGCCGTGGTATTGCACGGACCCCGCAACCTGAAATTAGAGTGCATCCCCGAACAGGCGGTTCTGCCGACACAGGTTCTCTTAGAAGGAGAGATTCTTCCGCGTGACTCCGATTAATCGTCTCGTGCGCGTTGCGCGACAGCTTACTTCCTGCTTGCGAGACACTCGATTCGGAGCATCCTTCGCGGCCGATTCGAGTTTTACGGCTTCTTCTCCGTCCCCAGCTGCAGAGCCGGGGTTGCTACTTCCTGGTCTGCGAGCGGAATTAATTTCTACGCGGATAAGATAAGCCGTATTAGCGATGCAAGTGCCGGTCTCTTACTCTCTCTTTCTTTCGACGAGTTGTATTACGCGCTTTAATGTCACGCTACCGACGCCTGAATGTGGAAGGTTCATTCATTCAGGAACTTTGCAAGGCGAGCACATCGCTTTATGAAAATCTCGCTTTCACTTAGAATCGATCCGCGGCTGTGCGCGAAGGTTAAAAGTCGCCTGGCTGAAATTCAGCGATAGATACTTTCTCCGCTCAAGCGCGCTCGTTCGCTCTCTTTCGCGGTCTCAACTTCCCCTCGTGGAATGCTTCGACATGATATTCTTGTGTTGATGCTGGCGACCATCGATTAAGAATATCTGCAGATCTGTTCTGTTACTTTTAACGCCGTGTGTCGTTATCATTACGTTGATATGATATATGGTGGAAATGTTGATTAACGACAATGCAACGATAGCGACACTGTCGTTCAAAGTTTTAGATTTGACTTATTGGAGTATATATTGTTCACTTAGCTAAGAGGTACGGTTTAATTTGCGGTAAGGAAAGCTTTACGGTACTTTGGCACTTCATTCGGCTCGACTTGCCACTTCATCCGGCTTATTTATCTTGTTTCTGTACACAGTCTGCTAATTATATAAAGAGTTTATTCACTATTCAGGGTTGTATTCTGAAACGTCCTTTTTGAGGAAATTTTATTTAATACTTATAGTTCACGTTACATATATTATAGAGTATCAAGTAAAATTTCCTCAAAAAGGATGTTTTGGAATACAATCCAGATATGTTTATTTTCAGGGCGTATTTTCAGTGGCGCGTTATAAATTCGCTACTCATAAATTCACTATTTATCGAAAACTACGTTTTTATATATTTATTTCACTATCTAAATAATAAATATTAATTTGAAAGTAATTTCATGATACTATCTTGCCACTCAATACACTCAATACAATGCTCTTCAAAGCATGAAATAGCAATTTTCTGACATATAATCAACCATTACACAAAAACGGTGTAGAGAGTATTATTTTTTATTCCATGCGGTATTTCCTGATACGTAACATTTATAACGGAAAGTTTTTTTATTAGGATGGTATCATTTTTGACGAAGTTGTACTGGAATAATAATCATTTGCATTGCTTCTACTACAAACTTGTATGTACAAAATTTTGATATTCAGTATTAAAATTTTCGGTGAACAAATTGCATGAAACTACTAATGTGTTCTACTGCGATAAATGTTATGTAAAATTTTACGAATAATTTCAAGCATTTTGTTTCAAGTGAACAACCTCCTTGAGTGCAGCAGTACCTTCCCCTGGTGAGTTTCGTAACGCATCCCGTTACCAATAGAAGAAAAAAAAGATTTATTTCTCTTTTTAATAATTCTCCAGAGATGCGCTCTCCTATTGGATATAGGATGCGTTGCAAAACTCATCAAGGAAAGGTGCTACATTTATATAATTGTTACATCTTACAACACACTAACAACTTATGATAAATTGACGTAGCAAATCCTTTACAATTTATGATAAATTGACGTAACAAAGATGCCAATTCAGTCGGTACTAGCACGAGCTGGTACAAAGCTGAATATCTATCTGAGGAAAAACCAGGGCAGAAATGCTCAAAATACCGTAAAGTGCTTGCCTTTACTGCTAGTCAGACCTTTCCCTCGTAGAATGCTCTTGTCAGATATTTTTATGTCGATGGGTGTCGAGTCTCTCTCTCTCTCTCTCTCTCTCTCTCTCTCTCTGTTTCACCCTCACCCCATAAATTCGCCGGCTGTTTCGAAAGGTACGCGTGGACGTGCGTTTCTGCGGACTAACTAGCGGCGATGTGCTCCTGTGGAGCGGCGAGCACCGCAGGCTCCCGGAGCCCGGCATGGTCCTTGGCTCCGAGATGTCCGGCACGATCCTGGAAATGGGCGGACTAGCACACGAGCGGACAGGTTATCAGGTGGGCGAGGAAGTGGTCGTGCACAACTATCCCGTCTGCGGCGGTCTCGCGGAGAGCTGCCTTGCGCATTACGAAGTAGGGCATTTCTCCAGAGAGAAGCGTCATTTATTTAATTAGTACTCTCGCGATGGGCGGTACGGTTCTGTTATTATTGCGAGATGTGTTTTCTCTCGGACCTAAGACAGAGACATATTAAAGATTTCGACGATCTCACCGGTCCCCAATCTAAGCAGCAACGAAGAATATGTTTCCTAATTAGATTTTGTATAATTAACCGGAATCCCTGCGGGACATTATTGTTCCGCATAATTGACCGGAATCCCTGCGGGACATACTATTGTTTGCCCACGCGCTATGTTGGTAGGTCCTGCTGGGAGGACAATCGCCGAGTAAATATTAGGATGTGTTTAGATTAATGAGACGAGTGTCCCTGGAGGACGCAGTGGCCTTCGCGGATGATTATTTCTCGGCGCTGCTGGTGATAGGCCGTCGATCTCGCATCCGGGCCGGCGAGTGCTTTCTCGTTAACGCGAGACATTCACATTCTGCCTTGGCCGTCATCGATGTCGCTGTTCACGTGTTCGGAGCGAAGGTAATCTCGCAGGTCGTCCCTGACGATCCTTGAAACATAGAAGCGTTTTAATCGATCTGAACCTCGCGATAGATCTCGACCAATTCGGAACAGTTAGCTATTCTCATCTCGCGAATAATTCTTTCCCGACAAACATATAGATTCGTCCTTCGCGTTTTAGCCGATAGCTATATGCCATGACGTGAGGCAAGCCGAATTGTGCGGCGATCTCGGTGCGACAGTCGTGTTGGAGGATGAGAACGAGCGGTGCTTACTACGCAAGCTAAGGGAAATTAATGGGAGAGAAGAAGTGCGTGTGTTGATCGAGACCCAAGGCGGGCCGTCTTTTCGGAACATCGTAAAACAGTGAGATCGCATTCTGTCACGTTCAGAAACCGACGCGAGTTTTTTTGCAGCGCGACTTAACTCTCATACCTGCGCGGGATATATATATATAGGATGGTGCTAAACGTTCCAGCCAGGCTTAGAGACCTTGTAGGAAATGTAATTCTGAGCAAAAAATTTTCTATAAACATGGGTCGAAAAATGTTTCCTTAAGAAGTTACCGCCCAATTCAGATGCCGATTCAGCGACCCAAAAAAACTCTAGAATACCAAGTTTTGCACATCCATCGAAATTTATCGTAGTTATTCAATGTGCGCAATGCGTCATTACTAGTTAACTAGTTAAAACAGGTTATCTCAAGACTTATGAAACGTAATAAAAATATTTTTGCCTCATTTCAAACAAAATTTAATACTCTACAACTTTGGTTTCCATACTTTAAAAAAAAAAAAAACATTCTTTCCTAGATATTTGAAAAAATGTTTTTAAAAACGTAATTTTAGAGGAAACGTGGTTTTGGGCAATAACTTCTTAAGAAAGCATTTTTCGACCTATGTTTATGGAAAATTTTTTGTTCAGAATTACATTTCCTACAAGATCTCTAAGCCTGGCTGGAACATTTGGCGCCACCCTGTATATACCACTTAAGAAAATATATAACTATATATAATAATAACTATATATAAATATATAATATAAAGATATATATATATTTATATATATATATATATATATATATATATATATATATATCTTTATATTATATATAATATACAAGTTATAATAAATACATCAAAACTTTAAAAGAAATAGATATTCCTGAATTTCTACCATTTTGAATTTAAATTTTGATAGTAAAGGAATGAGCGCTCTCAAAAGCTTCTATAATCATCTCAAACGTATTTCTTTTGAGAAACCGAAGGTGCGAAAGGGTTAATATTGTATAGTGCACGGGAAAAAGATATGGTGCACATAATTAGAAATATTCAGTCGTGAGCAGTACAATTATTATCGATAGTTACGCTGCTCATGCATAGTTATCAACGAGTCGCTTCGGTTATCTCCGTGATGGTAATGTACTGATCGATGACTCAGTTACTTTGGTACATCAACTACATCAATGTAGTTCGCGCGTGATCTGATCTGATTGTGGCAACTAGAAATCGATTGAAGTGACATTTACCACGAATACATTCTGATTGGAGCAACTAGATACCGTCACTGTAACTCAGCAATTGCTTTAGTAGTTGCAACAATCACATAATCGGTTGTTCTGTATTTCATTGTTAATCCAGTTAGCACAATCAGATTTACGTGTGGTTCTATCATAGTGTTCTTTGCGTGTTTGCGTACTGCTGGATTCTTCAAGACGCGAAAAACAGACTTCCCAGCCTTTGCAAGTCATAATAAATACACTTCTACTTATTCTGAACACAAATTATAACTTTCTATCAATTACGAAACAAACAACGACACGAAAGTCGATTACGACATTTCTCTAATATTATGTTACATACCTCTACTTTCAGTCTGGAACACGACGGCCTAGTTGCTTTTCTCGGTTACGCTCGGGACAGACGGTGTCCCGATTTGAACTTCCCGTTGTCGAACTACACGGTATTCGCGGTCGTCCCGGAACATTACAAAGTTGCTGACCCGTTGGTTTACAGGTTGATGTGAATTTAATATAGCAAGACCAAGTACTCTAGAGACGTTCGCTTGTGTGCGCGATCGATCAGACGGAGTACGGTGCTTTCTAACAGGGAGACTATGCAGCAGCTGTTGGACTACCATGCGGAATGCGCGATTCATCCCCGCGCGTCAGCGATTTTCGGTCTGCATCGTGTCGACGAGGCATTCAACTATTACACGACGGTGCCGGGTAGAAAAGTACTGATAGACATGAAGGACTGCAATCGATTAACCTTCTGACGCAAACTCTAACAAGCGAGGATCCGGAAGTGTCTCTCGCTGATTTTGATGAGTGTACACACAGAAAAACATGTGCTGCACTCAAGTAAACGCTATCTGTTTCAAGTATTTCATAAGTTTATATATCCGCGAGTCTATCATCGTAAAAGTTCATCGTAAGCATTAAATCTACTAACCAAATTCTGAATAAATGTGAATTTTTCAATATTCTAAATCCTAATAAGTTTAGTATTTCAATCAAGAATATTAAATTAGAATATTAAATAGAACAAAAATTATTAAAGAATATTAAATTAGAATATTAAATAGAACAAAAATTATTAAAGAATATTAAATTAGAATATTAAATAGAACAAAAATTATTGAATCGAATAAACTTTTTCTACGGTAAACTTTTATAATATTCTTGTAGAGGGAACAAAAAATTTTTTTGAGTACATGATAACGAGCTTTTCTACAATTCGTACCGAATATGACTATTATCAAGAAATTATTCTTTGGTAACTATTATTTAAAAAGAGCAAAGCAGACTAATCGCTCCAATTAGCAATCGAATAATATTTTTCTGTGTGTATGATATATCTATTCTTTTAGAAATATTTTTTGATATTAATATATAATATAGACTAGTACGAATATTATTAATTTAACGAAGTAATACACAATTTATATTAGAAAAATAAAAATATTAATTGAAGAATAAATGTGCAGAAGCTGTGTCTTTTCTAAACTACTTAATTCCTTTCTTACTGTTGGATATATTAGGACCTTAACTTAGTTTCCGCCCGCAAATGTTAGATGGCAATGCAAACAGTTCTAGTAGTCATTACTAACGAAACAGGTAGTTTGTGATTAATTTCGACATTTCTCGATAACATTCAGTCAGCATACACAATTATTTTCCTAAACAACAATTTCTTTTGCTTTGTGAAAAATGGAACGCGATAAAGTGTTTTTTCGACATGTGCTTTTGCACTATTTT